CAATGTAAACATTTTTCCTGTTTTCCAGTTTCATGTGAGTTCCAAAATGGCCGCCGTAAAGATATAACGAACAATTTCCCGTGAAAAAAACGTCAAAAAAATTAAACTATTAAAGGAACATTACGAAACAATGTCACAAAAAACTATTGGAGAAAAATTACAAACTGATGAGTTAGAGACGAACATTTTTACTACACTACATGTTTATTACTATGTTTTTGTAATACCCCATAGGCACCAACTTCACAAATTGAACCGTACCTACTTGAAAAGTCTCACGACTCTCCGTAAGTTTCTGGAACAATAATAAACTATCACTTGCTTCAAGTGGTGCAAGAGTCCGCCTCGACAACCCCACGCGATCTTTTGCATTTTTATTTTTGTTCGAAAGTAAAATGTGATGAATGTCATAGAACAAAAGTTGTTGATCATCATCATAAAGATGTTACAATATATTAGTATTTTCCCCACCAGGGGGGACAGCTGGTAGGGACTAGTGGTATAGTATAAATCTATGAGACATCTTCGATCTTGGTAACTTACTTGTAGTGCATTATTAAATAAAATTTTTAAATTTTGTTTCTAAAATGCTCAATAGATATATTTATTGTCAGTCTGTGATTTTTATTTATAAAATCACGTGCCAAATGGTGGTGGAACCTAGTTGAAATAGCACCTAATATGCGTTGGGCATGGGGTATCAAGCGACAGTTTTGGAATCGACTGAACAGCTTGCCCCCCATCCCACTCATGCACACAGTTTGGTGACAGAGTTGCATGTCGAACTCGCTTGAATTTCCACTGTGAGTTTCACAACTCCACCGATTCATATTAAGTTAGTAACGCGTCGCTTAGTATACTCGAAACTGAGTTATTATTCGTGAAGTGTATTTTGTATAGATTTATTTGCTTTCCGAGCGATAAAGTTATATCTGACAGAGTGTCATTGAGATGTATACGTAATGGATAATCTATTTGTAATTTACTAAAATTGAACTTAATGCATGACACAAATGTAAAATTGAAAATTATAAAAATTCCTTCGATCCAATTTTTCTGAGTGTTCGATATTTGTATTAATAATTATAACAAACTAGTGGAGTAATTTCACAAAAATAATTGAATATCAATTCAATAAAAATTTGAAAAATATTTTATTAAATATATCATTAAAAAAGATTTGTTTGATCTTTGAAAATGTATAATGTTGAAGAAGACTCACAAAATTCACATACATTTCATGCGAAGCCCACATTTGGCCATATTGGTGAATTACAAATAAGTATATGTATTTCAACTCACGAGGAAAAGCGCTAGAAAACATACAAGTAGTAGTACTTTCAAACCGTTTTATTTCTCCAACCATACCTACACAACATCACGAGAGACAACTTACTTTTCATTCCCCGCCCAATATCTTCAACCCAAAACTATCTTCAACCGCAATGGCATCTATCGGCGTAATTGGTAAACACAACTTAAAATATCTATGAAATATAACTTTCAATACAAGTACTTCTAAGCCTGCGTAGCGGACTATGGCCTAAACCCTCACCTGAGTGGAGACCCATGTCCAGCAGTGGGAAGTATAAATAGGTTGATGATGGTGATGGCCATGACTTCTAACTACAACATACAACTGATACAACTACACTATTTATATGTATAGGTATCATTACATATTGTCAGTATTTAATAATTGACTAATTAAATAATAATTGAATGTGTGTTGACTAATGATTGACTATTTATTTAAATGGAATGGGCTCTGGCTTTGAGAAAAACTTGTAACAATAACCCACTCGTTTTACCTCGTGTACCTATGTGCAAACCCAGGTTATTCTCATCTAAATTAGTTTTACACTATATAGGCTAGGAGAACACCTGTACCCAACTGTAGAACGTATGTTAGGCATTAGATCCTATAAACAACTGTAAAGAAACCGCAAATGAGATTCTAGTCTAGTAATTCCACTGTGATCCTAGTTTAATTAAATTAAAGCCGATAAGCGTGGATGTGCCTGACTTCCAATCCATAAACTACACGGAAGTAACGGCCTATGGGACATAATAACTCAAGATTAAAATCTTTAGTAATGACTATACAATTAAATGTTTCTAGAGCGATAGGTAAAAAATGACGAATAGGTCCCGCATATATAAAAAAATATGCACCTGGGGTATGCACATTGACGGCCATGTAACTGTGTGTGATAAACCGTCGATCGTGCATTCTGTGTCCCGTAGCTAGTTCTGGTGCCGGGTATAAGGCTTTTGAGATTGTTCATCCGATTTTATTAAATACTCTTCCTACTCGGCTGGAGACATTTTCAATAAAAAAAATATTATGAAATTTTTATTTTTCTATCGATTATCGCGACATCTATTAGTGATTTGAAAATACAATGTAAACACTACAGATGTTAAATTAAGAACGATTTAGTAGTTTATGAATGCTCCGGTAGGTGACAGGCTGTTTACAACAAATCTCCAACAAGCTTTACCTTCGTACTTCTAGATGTCACTATATGAACGACACTAAACGCTTACAACGTGATGCTAAAATAACTTCTAATATAATGTGAACGAGCTTAATTGCTTAGTAATTTTAACAAAAATGCTGTAAATAAAAATCTTAAAACGAAAATCAATCAGCTTTAATAATTTTTTCAAGAAATGTTTAGAAAAAACTAAAACTAGAGAAAGTTTGTCTATGGTGTATTAAAATGGCCGCCTGCAGTGATGTCCGATCGGAGTTTTATATTCTTTGTTTACTATAAAATTACAATTTTCGGTTCAATTTATATACTTTTATGTGATAAAATACAATGTTTATAGGCATACAAACTTTGGACAGTACATTGGTTGCGTACAAGTGTGTGATTTGACGTAAATCTAGTGGTACCAGTCTCACCTTGTAAAGAGAAAATGGGGAACTGTTGTAGTGGCGGGGGAGAAAAGGATCCTAAGAACAAGAATGAAAGAACGAACCCTCATGAGGAAGATCCTAGACAATTTCAGACTCCAGTGCCAACCCCACCCCCGGATCCAATTAGATCTGCAGTGAATCAGGGCCCAGATACAAGTGAGGTGCCTCCCACCCGAATTTTTGTTGCCTTGTATGATTATGACGCTAGGACAGATGAAGACCTTAGCTTTAGAAAAGGGGAGCACCTAGAAATTCTGAACGACACACAAGGTGACTGGTGGTTGGCGAGAAGTAAAAAAACTAAACAAGAGGGCTACATTCCTTCAAACTATGTCGCTCGATTGCAGTCTATTGAGGCGGAGCCGTGAGTAACCAAATCTTGTTTTTTATGCAATCATTTCGATAGTTTGCGTCCCCGTCCCACCATCCCGTGCGTTATATGCGTTTAACGTAGTGTGTATGCTTGTCACCCCATACTGATCATCAATTAATTTATTTGACAAATTTTACACAGCTGTTTTGTTTATTTATAGCTAAGAATGTCTGCGGCTTATACTACTTGCCCATTGTTACATTCCTGTGTACTCCAGGGCTGTTGACTGATTAACGCCCTACTTTATGATCATTCTACACCTTTCCCCTTGCTAAGCCACTTGTACCTACACCCTGCTTCTGGAGAAAATCTAAAAGACGTTCCTGAGATTACTCTATAAGAAAATTTATGGGTACTGCCCATTTTTATACTCTACGAACTTCCGCCTTGGCGTCTTGGGTTTAATTCTTTAGAAGTAAGACGTAATTATGATCTGCTGACTATTGCTGGTAGCATCTTGCGTGAATTGTCCAGTTGACCAGAATAGCTGACTCAACTAGTGTGCCTGTTTGTCCACCACTAAATAAATTTAATCTATGGGAGTGTTCCTCTACTGTTCTTTCTTTTTCACTCTGAACTCTCTTAATGCAATTCTTGTATCCAGACTGTGAAAATGTTTTTGCAAGTAGATGAATTTGCAAGTGTATGATGAATGTTTAAGGTTTTGTGAGAGGATGGATGAGTGTCTGCTTTCTGTGAATTACTAATATTGTCTTATCGATTTCTTAGGTTTTCGCGATTGTTACACATAGAAAATGAAACAATTTTTCCAGATTTAAATCGCATATATTTGTTTTTTCAAGCAAACTGAGACATTTCGGGCCCTTTACAGGTCCCATGGTTTGTTTGAAAAAGTAATTATACATGATTTAAATCTGGAAAAACAGTTTTCTTTTCCCTAATATTGTATTGTTGTGAATTTCACAATGTCTTGGTATTTGACTGTAATGCAGTGTAATGGTATGAAATAAATATATATTATTTAGAAATATTAAAGCGTACCTGTATGGCTTACAGGTTGTATTCATATTCATTATTTGCAAATGACATGGTTATATAACAGGTGTTCTTATGCTAATGGCACTTGACATATAACACCCCATGGGGGCACTGCAGTATTCTGTGGGCATTATGTCAGTATGTGTTGTACAAAAGCACTTGTCTAATACAGCACACTTTTTAGTCTGATCATTTTAGGTTATAAACGTGAAACAAATAATAATTTTGAAAGAAACAATACAAGTTTGCGAGAATTGTAGCAATCCTAAATCTATAGTCTGACTTTCCCACTCAAAAAGGAGTATGATAATCTGTATCTTAATTAGTGATCAGAATAGAGGGAGTGACAGCATAGAATAATGTGGACATTCCCTTTTACAAATCCTGGGACTTTGTAGATCTAATTATATTTGAATTATTTATTGAAATTTGAGTACAATGGCAACAAATTATTATTTCCTGTTAATTGTTTGCTGCAAATTATTCTCTCAAAAAATAATTAGTGTTACTATAGGTATTTACGCATTTAAATATTTAGCCATTTAAAAAATTAAACAAGAGACAACCTATATTTTGGAATGTTTAGAAAATAATAACTAAAGCCATTGGCCTACCAACAAATGGACATTGGGTCTAATACAAAAACCAGGAAAAAAATGTCCGAGGTTAACCTATACAAACGTAGTGACATGTAACGAAATATAAAAAACTAAAACATTTAATTTAAATTGCAACGTCATTGCAGTACTGCCTAAATTTGCTTACAACAATTTAAGGGCCTAAAAACACCCTATTTAGCTTCGACTGAACATTACTTGAACACAAGAGTAATAGCCTTTCTCGTAAATATTAATTAATTTTTGTATATATATTATTATGTCGAATTTTGTACAAATTCACTTAAAGGTATAATAAAGAGTTGGGTAGATACATACCTACAATTATTACTACAAATGTGAAAATAAGCGTGTACTATAAGAAATGTACCGATATTCTAACTAAACGTAAACTCAAATATCCGTAGTTCCGATTTATAACAAAACCGTTACGCTTTCGAGTAATTTTGATGCTTTTTAAATAGACAAAATTAGCTTTTGTTTTGTAATCTTCGTAAAAACGCATTATAAAAATTCGAGCTAATGTTATTTCGGGCAAATGTATTTTCTGACTTCTGATAGGTAATCCTATGCCGTAAAACGAGTACAAGAATATTTTGTTAGTTATTGCTAATGTTTAATAAAACAATCATTTTAAAAATAGGATTAAAATCAAAGCAACTCTACAGTTTCTTTGTTCTAAATATTTCACTCACTTGTGGTTCGAACAGTTGAAAATGACCAAGAAGTTTATATTTTAGCTTCTTGAAACTGACATAATTGGTCTCTTTCCATCTTTTGCGCATGCAATGAGTAGAAAAACGACAGTTAGCAATTTCATTATTTTGTGTGCTTTTGTAATTTATATTTACGATTCAGTTATATATAAATTAAAAGCTATAAAACTGTCCAAAATAACACTTTTAAATAACAACTATGATAACACAATATATTTGTTTATTGAAAATATGATACAAAATCCTGTTTTCACACTTTACTCCAGTAATTTTAACAAATTATTATTTGTACTGCATATTATTGGTACTGCATGATTGACAACCGCGCTGTCACTCGCACAAACAAAACACTTTATTCACATTGATATCAACATCAATGGGTATGTCCATACTAAGAAAACATTCATACTTTAGGTAAATTAACTCCCTCAATTCTAATCGCTGATTATTATACAAATTGTGATAAACCCAATTATAGTGCTGATTAGAACACTCATTAAAAATATTTATATTGATAGAATTCACAATTAATAAAGTGTATGAATATTCTGACTTACAAGATTTAACAAGGAATGAAATCTCTTACTGGCGAAGGAATGAAATCATTACTATATCAGGAACTCTGATTATAGCCTTTAATTGGGAACAAAAAAATTGTTTGCGATGGAAGTTCTACAATATATCACATTACATTGTGTTACAATTTTAAATTAAGGATTTAGGTACCCAGTCTCAACACATTGTTCAAATCATATTTCAAGAAATATTGTTTTTTTAAATAAACTTAACAGCAGGCTTATACTTGATAAACCTGTCACTCACTACACGCAAAATTCGCGCCTTGACGTCGAGTTGCGGACACTAGCCCATTACACCCAGTACCTAGTACACTTGATAAAATTTGCTCAAAATATACAGTTCTTTGTCTTTGCTATATCAAACGATCAAACTGTATTCAAGAAGTACAAATTATGTGATCTATGAACCAGGCAACATTTTAAAACTGTTGTAAATTTACTCAATTTCTCTTGGGGTTATCCTGTATTTGTTTTATTAAAAACATAGTAACTAGTACATAAACAATAAAGTGATGATATAATTATTAATACAATAATAATTACTGTAACTCATCCTTCAACAATATTAATCAAATATTTGTTTCCTGTCATGAATCACAGATAGAAAACTCTGTCCTATGTCTGTAGTAAATATGATTCTTTGTGTAACATTCTTGCACAAGATAATATTTGACCCAAATTTTATGTACCGTGTAACAAAACAAATATTTCTCCTTATGGCTATTGTTACAAATTTAAAACTCGACAAGAATAATTCTTCAGTAACATTTTGGTTTTACTATCTCTGAAATATTTAAGTACTGAGTTAATTTTTATGTTTAATGGTAAACTCGTTTTTCCCTTTGATTACAAAATTAGGGCTATAATTAAAATATATTATGTATATAATATATAATTTTGTTCTTCCCACTAATATCTTTTTATGTTAATAGCACTTCTTTGGAGGTCTTTATATTAACTGGAAACCACTGTGGCAAACTTATGATATTAAAATTATGAATGTTTGCCCTAAAATGCTTTAAAAATATTATTACATAATAATTCTTCTTCTCTATAGAAATCAAAACAGACCTGCTTTATTTATGTTTCGTTAATTAGTAGTGGAAGTCAAAAAATACAAATTACTAAAACTTCAAAAAACAAAAGTTGATAATTTAATTTCTATAGGAGTTGCAACATTATAAATATAAGTGATATAAACACGTATCAGTTGTAGGTAGTTAAAATATTACCATTCCATATTGGTATGGAAAATCCTAATTATCCGGTAATTATCCGGTACTTACTATTCTTAGATACAATTAATAGATTTTTATCAAGTAAGTCATAGATTTCCTTTAAATAAATTATGATGGGAAAACCATTAGATATATGAAAACACGATTGGTATGTGAAGTGAAAGCTAAGTCGTATTATCATGTTCACTTACACTTAATGGACTGTGAACATATTACGAAATATTTATTGTTCTTTCCATATACCTTGTTTCATTGTAATCTATTGCCGATTGCCTTTGTGGTACATTTTATGTACGTAGCATCTGTTTAATTTTCTTTTTGGGATTGGAATAGCAGAGTATGATTGTCATTGTGTCATCTGTCATATTATGTTGAAGCAGGAATCTGCTTAACTGAACACTTAATTCATATTATAATAAATTATCTTTCGCTTGTCATAAAATCTGGGAACAGAAATGTTATTTACACTATTGAAAGACAAGAATAGAATATTTATTTCATGAACTCCCTAGTGCTTTTCTTTAATGATTTATTTGGTAATCCATTTACTTATGTTAAATAAAAGGAATATTAAGTATTATATTAATTACCATGTCTTTCAATAATCTTTAATGAGTGCATTATTCTGTACATAAGTCTAGTAATAGTAGAGCTCCTTGTGATAGAGTTCATATGTCCCATGGTGATTTGCGTCGTGTCCCTCATCTTTGCAATTTAAAGCTCTAAGTGGCACTGCAACTGTCATGGATATAGGCGACTCGCTTACCACCAGACAGGCGACTCGCTTACCACCAGGTGTACGACTTATACGCCCCGTCACTTTATGATAATAAACAAATATGT